AAAAGATCAGTCCAGGAGACTCAACATCTGCCTAATACAATTCCAGGGAGAAGAAACAGGGAATACAAAGGTGAGGTACATGCAGTTCCAGATTTAAAAGACCTACAGAGTGAGCAGAACGATAAATACAAAAACCAAATCCCGGTAAGGTACATCATTGTGGACTTTAGATGGTGAGACACAGAGAAAGAACCATCAAACTTTCCAGAGAAAGAAAAACAAAGCAAAGGCAAGGAACGCAGTCAGACTTCTCAAGCACAGTGTGAACTGGAATCCTGCATGGAAATGATTTTCCTCCCAGAATTCTACATGCAGCTAAAGAATAGAATTAAGACATTTCATAACTAAACATCTCAAAACATGTAACTTGTATGTACTCATTTATGGGAAACTATAAGATAAAGGGCTTTTCCTCCCTGGAGGCTTTCCGTGTCCCCTGATTGGAATTCTCAGCTCCCCAATCCCAGAGTGTGGTGTTCAACAACTTAATGTTTGACTTCATCCCGGAGGAAAACATGTGCCATGTCTGATCACCCTTGTACTCTCCCCAAGGGCTCAGCCTGGTACATACCTAACGGAAAGAACTCAAGAAGCACCTGTTGAATCTTTATCAGCCAGGAATACCTTTTAGATTTTCTCTGTCATTTAAAAACTGTATTCCACAAGCAACAACTGCCCCTTTTTACACTGTAATAGAGTTTAAAATGTTTAAAATGGAAACATGTGCACAATTTGAGTGCACTGGTCTTGCTTTAGTAAAGCTTTTTAATACTATCTGTTTGGAGCAGGGGCGACTGCAAGGTTAGTAAATTTTCTCTGTAAAGGGCCAGATAATACATACTTTCAGTTTTGTGGACCATGTTTCTCTTCTGCGACTCCTCAGCATGGCCATTGTAAAGTGAGAGAGGCCATAGACAACATGGAAACGAACAGGCATCTCTGTGTTCCCGTAAAACTCTACCTATGAAAGCCAGCAGCCACTGGACTTGGTCCGCATGCTGTCATTCGCTGACACCTGGACGAGAGTAATGCTTTATTTATTCCCACCATCTTCACAGGAAAGAAGTTTCTTAATACCTCGACGTAGCATTAATAATTTGGTTTTTCCATTTTTCTCTCTTAAATCTATCCTCTCTCTGGAAGTTGAATCAATACTCAATCAAAAATCGAGATTATGCTTGAGAGAGAAATTCTCTTTTCAGAATATCCCTGCTTTAAGAACTATGGGAAGGTACACTGCCTTTCTCCACTTTAAAGCCTAAGCTTCTTTCAGGTTGGATGAAAATCACTTGCTCTTTGAAACTGTGGTCTCTGCTTTTCCAATCAAGGGTGGCTTAGGCTGCGTTACAGAGCAAGCCCCATAAGAATGCTGCCATGGGGAACTGCTGTTTGCTGAGAGTTTGACACATAAGCCCTTCAGACAAGCGTTGTTTGGCTGCTTATGGTAGATTAAGAACAAGAGCCTTTGTTTCCAAAAGAAATCAATGTTTGTTCTTAAGTTCAAAGAAAACCAACTGTTCTAAGGACGATATGAGGACACGGACTCCATTCCAGCCGCCAATTATCTGCAAACACAGCAGAAGCAAAACCCACGTCTACCTAGCATGGAGAATTAGTCTTAGGCGATCCCTCAGTCCAGAACTCCCCTGCCCAGCCACTCAAGTCCAGCCTACGAAATTGATTTCTTAAGGAAAAAAAAAGTGTTTGTATCAAAATGGGAGTCCACTTAGGTCACCCCCTCTGAGATGCAGTCACATCAACTACGAGGCTTCCTATTAGCTACTAAGAAATCCAGAAAACAGCACTGGTGCTTTTTTTAAGTGGATACGGCACTCTCTCCAAGCCAATCACTAATCTGTCATTTAAAAAAAAATGAGAAAATAAATGAAAATACCACCATCAAAGCCTAGAGGCTGGGTAGAATTCTGTGTCTGCCAAGGAGTAAAAGTGTGTAACATTTTAAGTAGCATCATAAGCAAAGGATCTAATTGCCTCTGCCAAAAAGCTGGTCTAGCACCGATCAGACGTCAGCCACGCATTTGACAACGCAGCCGAAAGCCAGCCACGTCAGAAAATGCTTCCTGGTGGTTGGAAGGGAGGATGTGCATCTAAAATCAACATTTTTGTGGGGCCCAGCTTCTAATCTCCGAGGTCCAGTAGCCTGACAGCTTGAGAGATTCACATGACAGCTATTTTGTTCCCAAGTTCAAATGCAACAGTAGACAGTAAATTGTGCTACAGTCCCCCACCAACCATTCTAAAAGCCAATATTAAGGTTTTTCTTAGAGTTTCACTTCTTGGGTGCTTTTACTTTCTGAAGCCCCTTAAGATTCAGCACCAAGTCTTTGGGAGGACAGAAAGTGACAGGAGGGAGAAGGGAAGAATGAAAGGAGGGAGAAGGGAAGAATGAAAGAAGGAAGAGAAGGAAAGGAGAAGAGAACAAAGGAAGAAAAAAGCTAAGAGAACTTCAATGACTCTACCAGGAGACAGATGGAGAGCAGATGGGAGCTGATCCCAGGTGAATACTATTCCAGGTACCTCTAAACAATGCCAGCATGGGACTCCCTGGAAACAAGGAGACAGTAACTCAGTACAGCAGGAATTCCTCCAGCTGGTAACTACAAGTCCTCCAAAACAGGTGATCACTTAAAATGGGACTTCATAGAGAAAAAAACATATTTAGGGAGGAAGCAACTCCAAATGGGTGTTCTGCCTTAAGTCATAGGAATGGCTGGAGCCTACAAGAACCCTGAGCTTTTTTTTTTTTTTTTTTTTTTTTTTGAGATGGAGTCTCACTCTGTTGCCAGGCTGGAGTGCACTGGCACGATCTTGGGTCAACCTCTGACCCCCTGGTTCAAGCTGTTCTCCTGCCTCAGCCTCCTGAGTAGCTGGGATTACAGGCATGCGCACCAAGCCCAGCTAATTTGTGTGTGTGTGTTTTTAGTAGAGATGGGTTTCACCATGTTGGCCAGGATGGTCTTGATTTCCTGACCTCATGATCTGCCCGCCTTGGCTTCCCAAAGTGCTGGGATTACAGGCATGAGCCACTGCACCTGGCTGAGCCTTTCTTTTATAAAGACACCTGCCACTGGGCTTAGGGCTCACCCTAAATCCAGAATGATCTCATCTCGAGATCTGAACTTAATTGCATGTGCCAAGATCCTTTTCCTTTTCCTTTTCCTTTTTCTTTTTTGGCATGTAAATCAGTGTTCATTCTTTCAAATAAAAATATACATAGTGAAAGAATTACAACAGTCAAACAAGTTACCATATCCATCTCATCACATGATTTTTTTTTTGTGATGACAGCACCTGAAATCTACTCTCTTAGCAAATTTCCAGTCTACAGGGTCGTATTATTATCAAACAAGACCCTTTTTTCAAATAAGGTCACACTCACATGTTCCAGGGGCTGGGACTTAAACGTATCTTTTTGGAGGCAACTACTCAACTCACCACAGTTTCCAACAAACTAGAGAAGAAAATTATTTACTTAAATAAACATGGACTGTAAATGCTTTGTTGTATTTGATCATTGAAAGTCCCAAGACAGCAGGAATTCCTCTAGCTGGTACCTACAGATATTCCTGTCAGAGCTGGTGTCCTTAGACAAGTTACCAAGCCTGCTTGATCCTCGGTGCCCTTGTGTGTGAAACTGAGACAATCCCCCACCTGGTAGGTTGTTGTGCAAGTTGACAGTGATTCGTTTAGAGTGTCTGCCCCCAGCTAATGTGTGGTTGACAGGCCCTAGTCTTCAACGGCTTTGAGCAACATGTCCAACAGCCACTCCCCAGGAAACAGCGTTCAGTTATTTCTTGATTCAGCCATTAGTAGGATGTGTCTCGGGTATTTAGGGAAAAAAAGAGGCTAAAATAGCAGGCTTGCTAAAGGTAAATAATAATCAGACTTGTGGGAGAATTAAGGACTTGGCATCATGAGAAGAGCCTGTCATATTCAAGATGGTCACTTGTGACCATAGTTCTCCAATTATCCCAGGAATCATCAATTTAAATACACCATCTCTCACTACCTGGGCACTCCCCAGGACACGAGCTGCATCTTATTTATCCTTGCATCCCCCATGCCTGGCACAGTGCCTGGCACCTGAGTCATGCAATATGAACTGATGGATGGATGATGACATGAGCCAGAACGCTCAGGAAACTTCAGCTCTGATCATCAATAATCATGTAGATAACTACTGTTTATTTGAAAGTCACAATACTAAGTGCTTTACATATACTGCATGGATTAAATAAGATAATTTATGTTACCATTTTGGCAGAGCTGCTGCTCCAGAAATGGGAGGGATCATCACCACTTATTTTAATCCTCATTCCAACCCATAAAGGAGGCATTCTTATTGCCATGTTATAGCACGAACTGAGGCATAGGGAGGTGAAGTCCCCCAGCTAATACCTGGCAGAGCCAGGGTTTGTTAGACTTCAAAGACCTGTGTCCTTTTCAGCTACATTGCACTGCTTCTGATTCACAGTATTAAGTCTTTGTTTTAAGGCGTTCACACATCTATAGTCAGACTATAAACTGGAGGTATGGGGAGATGTATATGTATATGCATGTACATATGTATGTCTATATATGTATACATATGTGCTATATATCTGTGTACACACATGCACAACACCTCAATTGAAGAAATAAACTAGAGGGAATAATGACCTAAACAATGGAGGGTCCCAGGGAGCATGGAGAATTCCCTTGTCCTGAATCATACTGTGCAGGGATAAAGCATCACATGTTACGCTCTGCTAAGCTCATGAAAGCAACACATACAATGTTTTATAAGCTCCAGAGCCTCATTCCAGGCTTATTACTTCCTGTTGAATAATCTTGTTTCTAAGCCAAACGCCGTACAGTGAAGAAAAATGAACTGCGCTTGACATTCACATACAAGTGCTTTGCTCTGCACCTAAATTCCCAAAGACAGTGAGCAGGAAACATGACTGGGGGCACTAAGAGCATCCCAGCCATGAACTTACAGGAGGAATGGATGCTGGGGAAGCTTTTGCGGCCCTCGGATACCAGATCGGGGTCACCTGTGCAGTGCATTTCCGAGTTCATCACTCCATCTGGAAAGCAGCGGTAAAAGAAATCGGGGCGAGGTCTACAAAAGACACCATGGACATTTTCAATATAAAATGTTGCCATCACAAATGACCCCAAGCTGAACCCCCAACTCCCCACTGCCCCTAGCTCCTTCCTCAGCCCCCTTGGCCGTCAACACTGGAGCTCCCCACAGAATCCTCTAGACACAGGCATTTGAGGAAAAGCTCAGGCTTTGGTGTCAGAAAAATCTGAGTTGGCGCTCCCACGTACCACTTACTCGCTTTATGACCTTGGGAAGGTCACTTGGTCTCCCCTAGCTTCAGTTTCCACATCTGTAGAAGGGGGAAATCAATACTGACTCAAAGCTGAGGTCCTGAGGATAAAGTGACATGACTTACAGGAGGCACCTAAGCAGTGTCCTCTGGCTTAAGCTCCTTGTTTGACAGGTGTGAAAAGGAAGGCTTCATGCCACCCGTAGACTAAAAGTTACTTCCTGTCTTGATCTACCACTCTATTGTTGGATATTGGCATGGATTGCTCAAATGCCAATCCATAGGTCTCATCCTGAAGAGAATGATAAATAAGTAATCCTATTTATCTACTGCTCTACTGTTTGATCTATTTCAGAGGCTGACTCTGGGATCCAAGACTCCAGGCGCCTCGTGTCCATATATCCTGAATTTGGGTGGCCACTTGCCCTTCCTGAAATGGCAGGCCTCACCCGGCCTTACTGAGAGACCTTAAATATTCAGCTCCATGATGCAGAAGACACAGTGCCCCAGGTTGGCCTCTCTGGTCTAGGACATGGGAAAGAGACCTCTACATAGGGGTGGCCCTGGGCCTGAAGTCGAGCCTCCTGTAGCAATCATAGCTGAAGGAAGTCCTGAGTGCTTACTGGGCTTCAGACACAGTGCTAAGGTCCACACACCCATTGTGCCATATAATCCTTAGGAGAACCCTGAGGCAGAGCCTGGGGCTGTCTGTATTTCACACATGCAAAAATGAAGGCTCTTCATTGCTCAAGGTCACACACATCCAGTAAGTGGCAAAGACGAGCTCTGAACACCAGTGCCTGGATCTTTGTGCCAACATACTTCACCGCATGCTTTACTGCCTCACTCGAATGAGGGTCCTTACACAGGTAGGTGATGGCCTATCACCTCACATTCATACTCAACTAATATTCGCTGAGCACCTACCATGGGTGAAGCTTAGCTAATGTTAGAAACACAGCGCCTGCTTTCTGAGCACTCCAAGTCACAGTCCTGATCGCTGGTCCTTCAGTTCTGCAACTCAGGTAGGGCCTAAGCAGTCTACCAGAACAGCTGGGGTTCTGTCTCTCCAGTACTCAGCCAGCGTTTCTCCAAGTATGGATGTCCACCTAATGCACCAGAACCTCAGAGGGCCAAGGCCTGACAGTGAGCACTGATCAGGGCACTGTGGTAGCTCTAAGCACACAAAGTTAAGGGAATACAGCAGCAACAGGCCACGTACTGCCTGATTTTTATCTATTTCCTGCCCCCTCAGTCCCTGACCTGCGTCCAGTAGATAAAATAAATACTAATGTTCTGAGAGGGGATCTAGTGTGTCCCAGGCCAACAGCCAGCTAGAGTTAGTTAGGTCTTGTATTCAGATGTTTTGACGGCTCATGTCTACAGAGACCAGCTCTTCACCAGAGTAGTCAGAAGAGAAGGAAAGATAAATGGAAAACAGAAATCATTTCTCAGGGGCAGTAAGAGAAATGTGCCGTAAGCCCAGGCTCAGATGCCAATCCATATGTCTCATCCTGAAGAGAATGATAGGTAAGAAATCCCACTTATTTATTAGAGACCAAAACTGACAAGTGAGAGGGTGTCAGGGGAGGCCTTGGGCTGGCAGTGGAAGGAACTGGAAATGCCAGCAGTGAGCTTTGTCCCACAAGAAAGTATGGTCAGTGGGCATTTCCTTGCTAGTGATCTCCTGCTTTCTAAAATAGTGAGTTCGTAATTCAAAGGAAAGATCTGTGCTAAGGATGGAAAGCTCAGAAGGACGGTTTAAGGGAGAGCTAGATGAGCTCAAATCTGTCCCATCCAGTGTCTGCTGGCCCAGCTTCCTATACAGATGACCTTCATAGTCTAAGTCACCATTTCATTCTTCTTGGAACTTACCTTCCCACTATTAATTTAATAGTGTTTGTGCAGACTCCATTCAAAGCAAGAGCCAAGGACACCGCTACAAAACAAAACCAACAGACAGAAAAATAGCAAGCTGGTTCTCAAATCAAAATCATCATCATCATTATCATCATCATCACTGTTACATTATAATACTATTTAATGACCATAGAAATAGGCATGAATACTTTGAAAACAGATACGTTTGGGTTGCTAGAGCAAAATATAATTATGCCAGGACTTTGGAGAGTGACTCATAAAATTCTAGGCCCCTGTGTCATGAAATTTATCTCTCCGCCTTGACTGAAATTTTCACAATCACAGAGGAGCTCATCCATCATTTTCTGGCCTGATATGAACAGATTTAATACCACAGCATGTAGAATTTCTTTTACTGGTAGCAAGAAACATAACTTTTTTTATTTCCTCCTGGCAACCTTCTCAGACATAATTCTAATCAGAGCAGCTGCTGGAATCCTACTGCAGAAAAGGACGTCCCCACTCGGCAATTATCTCATTATTGACCCATCACCGGCCGACAGCTGTCCATTTATTATCAAACAAATCACTGTTTCTGCAAAGGTGCAGAGTCCAAAAGCCTCACTGGCTTTGGAGAAGGTCTGCCCAGGCGGTGCTTTTTGCCATCTAAAACAGCAAGAACTTCTGGGATACATTATTTGATCATACAGAGCACAGGGACTTTCTCTAAACAGTTTGGGAAGACTTTGCCAGACGCAGCACAGATTGTCCCGAAGGTGGCAGGTAACATGAGTCACAGAGCTTTCACTGCAAAGATCTTGCACCTCTCTCCTGTGGTTTATTGAGAGTGCATAAAAGGCAGAGTCATCACCATCAATGTGATAGAAGGTCAAATGCCTCACAGAAGCAATAAAAACCTATTGATGCCCCATTCCACTGCTTTGTTGAATAATAAAGCATGTGAGCTACCATTTCCCTTTGGCAAATATTAACTGTTCAATACTGGCTGAGATTTATATAAGAATTTAGCAGTGAATGGGGGCATTTTCGGGAAGGAGCTGCCTAGGGCAATTCATGGCCCATCGAGAGAGACAAATACGTTGTTCTATGAGCAGAAAGTACTGTGGAATGGGCAGTACCACTAAGAGCATGAGCCACAGAGATGGGAACACAACCCACCTGTTTTTAACAAGTCATCTGAAGCAGAGAGAATGGGAGGGACACATTCAAATGAACATCTTTGTCAAACGGAAACAAATCACCTACGTGTGAGATGGGGGCAACTGGCCATATCCGAGTGTGGCAGAAAGGAGGGACAGGCCACAGACTTGGAGGGCAGAGCGTGAATCAGCAGCACAGCACTGCCATTAAAACACGGAGCATGAAATGGGGGTGCAGAAATTGGAACTGAATATGAGGGAACTTGGAAAGATCCACTGACTGCATTCTGAACACATAGACCCTTCCTTCCTCAAATGCCAGCTCCCCTTCTCTCTGGCAAGCTCAGAGCACTGTGGAGAGGCCTCTCTCCAAGAGGGGAGAAAAAATTCCCTAGAATATCTTTGCCATGTTCTCTCCACAAACCCTGATAATTAACAGGTTGTGAGATTGCCGGGAAATTACTGTGGTCTTTTCTCTGTTAGGGCTGGCCTGCCAGGCTCACTGCTGTGTTTTCCCAGTGGGGCTGGACTCATTCTCATCCTGGTCCTAGCATGGCCTCTCTGGGAACAAGCATCCTTGGCCAATTCCCTATCACCCCACGTAGATCTTGGTGAACTTCATACACAGCCACATGGATCACTTCCCCAGCCTCTGAGCCTGGTGGGCTTATCACAGCACAGAGCCGTTCTTTAAAAAGTCTGAAGTAGCTAAGCTGGAAAATGTATGGATGTGTTATAACCACCACCAATTGGCAATTTTCCTGTCTGATCCAAACACCTGAAGGAAGCAGAAAGGTAGGAAGCTGGTGATGATATTTAACACAGTCATTTCAGCATTATAGCAGGAACCTAAACTGTTTAATATTTTTATCAGAATAGCACAACCCTCTGGGAATCAATGCAGGAGCCCCTCACTGATACTAGAGAGAAAGCTGTGCTGGGATCAGACCCATAAAAGGCTGGACAAACAGGAAAATAAATGGCCCCCATCAGGAATGCTTGTTCATTAACAATAACCCAGTGGGTCTGGTCATAAAGGCTGTTCTGTTTTTACAGCATCCCACAGCACTGTGGGTTTGAGAGAAGAGTCAAAAAGACAAACCATACTGCGTCTGATAAAAAATTTCAAAGCAACGTGTCCCGTGAGTTGGCTTGTAAGCAGCCTGTACTCAGGACACTACTGGTTATAAGCATTCCAGGGGATTAGAGGGCTTTTGTTGTTCCTTTCATTGCTGTAGGAAATCAGTACTATTGTGCTTTTATAACAGGGTTCCTAGAGTATACAGACCTGACTGTTTTGCAGCCTGAATTCCGAAAAGCCCAATGCTGCATGGGGCAAACCTCACTCCTCTCAACCAATGCCAGATGCACAAACATGGCCACTGTTTACCTGGAGATGAGGGCAGCACTTGGGATCCAGGTTTGGAAGCCTGGGTTAAAGTCTGCTGAAGACATCTGAGTAAAGAAGAGCACTGAGAACTAAACCTCCTGGTTGATAGAGTCCTGAATTCCAGACAACACTGGAAAATCTACACCCACTTTTCTATCCTTGGCTTTTAAAGATCACCCACCTCCACCCCCTACTTCCAAGGCTTCCTAAAAGTAGCAATTAAAAAAAAAAAAAAAAAACCTCTACACACAATGGAAGGCTGTTCATCATTTTTATAGGGCAGGCTGTCATTTATTTAGGCAAACAGAACATCCAATAATTCTACCTTCTCTGTTAACATATAGCAGACAGAGTATGATGTTCAGTTTTGAAATGTCACCCTAAGGGAGATTTCGCTCAGAATGAAAAGTCTGGAGAAGGCAACTGTGAGCTACTCACTGCTGTGACAGCAGCCCCACTCCAAAAGCCGGCCGTCAGTGAGAACCACAACCATGAAAGACAGTTCTTACCCACAGTCACTTATCTTGAGACTCCATGCCAGGGGAGCCACTAGAATAAAGCATGAACTAAAGGGATTTCCAAGTGAACTGAGAGGGCTCCCAACAGTACTTTTTGGAGACTATGGTGATATCCATCCAAACACTGCCTGGCCACTCAAGACATGTGTGAAGGGACACCTACCTGCGTCCTTGGAGAATGTGACCTTTTCCCACCTCAGTTGAGGAGACTGAAACCTGTGACCAAAAGGCCAAGCCATACAAGGGCAGCCTGCGGTACACACCTGACCTGAGGGAGGGCATCGACAGGCTGGTCAGGGACTCACGGTTTTTGTGGCCAGGCTGGAGAAATGAGCTGACTCTGTCTAGGAAGTACAGAGACTCTGTCCAGGAAGTCTGGACCAAGAAACACAGTGAAGCTTGGTGGGTGGGCATCAAAGTTGAACAAGCAGACAGATTGGGGGCAGAAGCCACCACCACTGCAAGCCCAAGTCTCACGTACACCAGAGACATGGGGCAGCAGAAACAAAGTCGAGGCAGAGGAGTCAGGCTGGGAGTGTCAGGAGAAGAGGGAAGGCATACTGCAGTGGTCATGAGCCAAGAGGGAGGTCTCCCCTCCTGATGGCCCAGTTCCCCATTCCAGTCCCTGTGAGGTGCCTCTGAACTTTTCCCCCTTTTTCTTGGATGTCTGTGAGATTGCTTATCAGAGCCCTGTAATTAAACCCCTAATTTATTTGAGCTAATTTGAGAGGGATTCTGTTCCTTTCACCTAGATAGGGCCTAACAGAAGCCTGGTTATATAGGAAGCATTCTGTGTGCTGCTTTAGGGCAGGAGCTGCTTGTTGTCCCACACGCCCTAGATGCAGCTCTCACACTCACTCCCTTACCATGAAAAAGGGAGGACCATATTTTGCTACATTTTCATTTCCTCAAAGCCCAATAATTAACAAACACACCCTTAAGTGAAGGCTCTCATTTTCCAGACTTACTGTGCCATTGAATGGTAAGTCCATATAACACACCAAAGACAAAATTTGGGCTGAGGATTTGGGTAACTTTTAGGTGACGTGTCAAAAAAAGAAAAAATCAACCTGATTTGGTTTTTCTCATGGTCAAAAAGCTGAAAACTTGGCTACAGGTTAGTTTATTTTGTTTGCTAAACAAGCCAGGTAGTTTTGGCTATCTCTTGGTGCTGTCATTTACTCAGGATTTGATTAACATGAAGACCAGAAAAACACATTTAATCCTGAAACGTCAAACTCTTGTCCCCTGCAGACATGGCTTAGCTTGGGAAGAATTTATAACAATGATGTTCTAATCAATGACAAAGATCATAATACTCTTCACATAATAGTGAACACTTAACTACCAAAATGTCTTCAAATTTAAGATGAGTTATAGAGCTTGTTTGTAATATCTATTTTATTTTACACCCGCACTTGCCCATTATTGCCTTTATGCAACAGTGTTTGGTCGAGGAGTCTGTTGTTGATTTCTGAATTGCCCAAAATGTGGGTCTATTAGCCAAAAATGTGAGACTGGACAGTCAGAGGTAACAAAGTTTTAGATTTACTTTGCCTACTGCCAAGAGCTGCCCGGAGTGTGCGCCTGAGCAGCACAGCTCTCTGGTGTGTACAGGGTGTTACGAGCATTCAGCACAATGGACAGCGACAGCGGGCGGCCTCTGACCATCCTCCATTTAGGACTGCACACTGGCTCTTATTTGGACTTAAAGTTTATCTTTATTTTATGTTATTCCTCCCCAGCTTAATTTGACCAAAAGAAAAAATCAGTTGGATGCAACTGAGATTTCTTAAATGCGATCATCTAATTAAGGCCAGCCCCATTCCCTAAAGCAGGAACGGTGAATACTCTACCTAAGAAGGCTTCCTTAATTTCAGTCTTGTCTGTTCGCCGGATAATTTTCACCACACAAATAACAGCCAGGGGTGTGAGGAAAGAAATTGCCTGGAAGAAATAACAAACAATCCCTTATGAGGACATCAGTTTGCTATCAGAAGGGCTGATTGATAATTAGTTCCCGTTAGCTTCATTTAGACTCCCTAGTTGAATAATCTTACTGAACTCCTGACCTCAAACAAAAAAAAAGGATGATGTATGTCTGTGCTTAGAGACTCCACAGACTTTAAAAATGGAAGATCTGATTGTAGGTTATAATTGATTTGTAATTGCTGAGAGCCATGTTTAAAGCAGTGACTTTTTAAATGGAAAAAAATAGTCTATAATTACAATGAATCATGTTTGCCAGTAATTCCCCTCATGCTCTCCTCTGTGGAAGGGTGAAGAACCCTTGGCTTCCCACTCCCATCTCTCTGGAAACACGAGTGCATTTGGGACTCACTTAGAGTCAATCAATTCATTCCTTTTTGGTGTTCTTTTGTTGAATATTTTTCTCTTCTGCAAAGCAGAGTTTAGTCTGTTTGCATAAAGACTCTCCTCTTCCCTTCCTCTATCCCCTTTCCTCCACATAGATGCTCAACTCAGACTTAATGAGTTAAACTGGTGGGATTCAGATGCAACCAACACTCATTACAAAACCTACTGTGAAGTGGAAACCATGGTAGTTGCCATCAAGTCCAGAAGACTCTTACATCCTCATGATAGCTCTGTGACTGCCTCCTCCAGGCTTGAGGACTAGGTGATGCGCCTGGGAACACAGAACTGGAGAGGGGTGAGGCCAGGATTTGGGGACAATGTTTCCCTTCCCATATTGAGTCTTTATTCCAGCTTTCCATAATTAGTAAATTGTTTTTCAACATTCCACCAACCATATAAAAGGTATTTATGTTACTTCCTCATGACTATAACATCTCAGGATAACAACATCAGAAGGGACTGAACATCTTACAAATCCAGAATTGGCCTACCAGTCAGTCGTGGGAGGGCTGGGATGTAACTGTTGACCAATAGTGTTCATAATTCTGGAAATCTCCCTCTCCACTCTAGCAAGCCATCACTTTTTGGAGAGGGGCTTCCTGATGGGACTAAGGCATGGCTGGAAGATGCTCTTCTTTTTTAAATTTATTTTTTATTTTTTGAGATGGAGTCTCACTCTGTCACCAGGCTGGAGTGCAGTGGCATGATCTCCGCTCACTGCAACCTCCACCTCCCAGGTTCCAGCAATTCTCCTGCCTCAGCCTCTTGAGTAGCTGGGACTACAGGTGTGCACCACCATGCCCAGCTCATTTTTGTATTTTTAGCAGAGACAGGATTTCACTATGTTGACCAGGAGCTCTTCTTTTGTAAAAACAGAATTCACCCAAATGAATGCAGGCTTTTAAAATTATTTGAGATGCTCCACACCCTTACTACAATCAGACAGCTAGAGTTCAAATCATCCTGGGGACTCCCCTTTGGGAACTGTCTTCAGATGCCACTTGTATGAGACATGAAAAAAGCCCTCTCCTTACCTGTCACTATTTATTTCTGACCAGAAGTGGTAGTAACCAGTTTGATGATTCAGCTGTGGCCCTGAATGATTTAGACTGTTTAAAAGTCAAATAAGCAAGTCTTGCCACCATGGAGGGTATTCAGGTGCTAAAGGCAGATGCATGAGAGGAGATTCAGAACCACTACAGAGAAAGCAGAGGATTCCCTTGGGGGCTATTCAGAAGGGCAACACTCATGAGTTAAGAGGTCCAGTAAGTCTGTGAAAGTTGCCGTAAGTTATTGGGCAGCTCTCACACCTAAATAACTATATGGCTTGTTAAAGTACTGATTTCCTCAAACATGCTTATATAGCAGGCCTAGAAATGTATATTTTTACCAGTATCTCAAATGGTACTGATGCTGATGATTGAGAATTATGCCTTAGACTTTTGACTCTCGCATTTAGTGCTTAAAGAACAAGAACTGAAGCACCACTTACTAAAGTCCAACGTTATGGTCAAGGCCAAAGAAGTCCTTGTTTCTCCAAATCCAAACATGAAGCCCACCAGCTTACCTTTCTGTTTTCTGTCCCTTCAAGCACTGCATACAGACCAGGCAATGTGCTCCCAAATAGGAGAAAGCAACTCACCAAATAGGGGATGGCCCAGTAATGACCACCAATTCAGCGTTTATATAGGAGAACAACATGGTTCTGAAGGAAATATTTCAAGACAATCTCAGCTGGTATAATCTAAGGTTAGGCAATAATGAAACCCTAGAAAAAAATTTGAGTTGGGATGACTTTCCCAATGAGGCTTCCAAAGGAAATTCCAGAGCAGAAAGTCACTGCCCACACAAGAGATGTGGGTGCCAGGTGGGAGGTGCTCAGGATCAAGGTCAAGTGTGCAGGCTGAAGAATTCATTAGAGCTGCTCAATGACTTCAAGCTAGTGGCCTGATGGTCCAGTGATCTCCTTTAGAACCGTTGCCTGCCTCAACTTGCCTCTTCCTAATTGGACCCTCACCTCTACTTCCCCAACAAGGCTGGACTTAATTTAACTCATGCTACAACTTCCCTAGGTAGATGTATTTTGGTGTCTAGGACCACTATCAACTGCTCTTGAGCCAAGGCTAAGCACCCAAGAGGGCCCAAGGCTCCCCACCTCAAGGGCTTCCCAGGCGAGGAAATGCAGCCTTCAAAGTGCCGTGTGGCTGCAGCCAGAGTGGCTTCAGCAGAGGTGACTGTGTGATTGCAAGATGTGGCTTGTTTCCTCCTCTCATCCTAACAGCAATGGGCCCTGGTGTCTCATTTCTTCTTCTGGAAATGTATCAGCCATATCCTTGGGTAGCAGGGTCCATGAATCAGGATGGATAGAGACATAGTTACATGTATCATTCACCCCCTTGTATACAAACATTTTTTAACTGAAAGTTGGAATTAAGAGGTGAACTTCAGAAGCCAACACATTAGGAAAACAACCTCCTCCTGGGGCAAAACACCTGTGAACTGAGTGAAGGAGGAATGAAGAGAGTAAGCACCCCACCACCTCACTTTCACTCAGCAAAGCAGATTGAATTGAAGTCAGTGCATATGCATTCCACTCTTCGGACAAAGGCCATTGGTAGCTGCGGTTCTGCTGCTCGGGCCAGGGGAGCAGATGACGATGGACAGAGGGACATAAGTTGGGGATGTTCCCTTGTACCTCCACACATGGGCAGAGATGGGGGGAAAACATGAGCAAGCAAAATCTCCCTTGGTATTGTTTTCTCTTCTGTTAATGTTTCCATGTCTAATTTTAAAAGAATCAAACCCAAGGAAATCCTAGGATGAGCCCAGGGTAGGAAGATGGGGAGTGGTCAGTGCTTATTAAATGAGACCTGAGAGAAAACAAAGAATTCCAGACAAACACTGCTGCAGAATTCAGAGAACATATTGAACCCTTCTTGGACTTGAGTTCTGCTCACTTGTTATGAGTATGGGGCTGCTGAATGTACATACCTAGGTTAGAATAACAAAGGCTAATGTGTACTGAGAACTTACTAAGGACTATGGTCTATTCTAGACACCCCATGCAAATTAACTCGTTCAATTCTCAAGCAATCCTAGGTGGAAAAGGCTCCTTACTTAACGAATAGGAAACTAAAGCACAGAGAGGTTCAGCAACCTGCTGGAAGTCACACAACTAATCAAGTGGTAAAATGAGGATTTGCACCCAGGTCACCTAAATTAAGTTCTACACTTTTAACCACAATGTTACAGCAGTTCCTACCCTAGAAAGTAAACATTAAATAAAATACAGTGCATGCTTTTTTCCAAGTTAAAAAAGAAAGGCAAGGCGGCTTGTTTCCAGGTCCAGGTCATAGATAAGTCAAAGAAATTTCAGTGACAGCTGTCACAGCTTAAGCACCTACTATGTGTTAAGGACTTACCTCACACTTTCCAATCTTCTAACTACTCTGTTGTGGAAAATATTATTCCCATTGTACAAATAACCAAACTAAAAATCATAGAGATCAGTAAACACACAAATGCACACAGCTAGTGGGAACAAGATTCCCAGACTGGGTTGCCATGCTCCTGGGTTGGAGTCTTGAATCTCGGTGATTCCCTTAGCCCAAAAGCTTTATTTTACAGATGGGGAAAATGAGGCTGACAGAGATTATATATTGAACACCACCTTTAAAGTTACTAATTGTACTGCACAGTGCCCACACAAAGAGATAGCATATGCATCATTTAGCAGGATCTGGGATGTGGCTAGTTTTGTATGTAGCTTGTTCCACAGGCTGGGAAGCCAGAGCTCTGTACAAAAAAAAAAAAAAAATGTGTGTGGAATGGTCTCAGATTAAGGAGAGGTGGGTTCAAGCCCCAGCTCTGACACTTATCTGTTCTTTGTCCTTGAGCAAGTCACTTAATCTCATTAATTCTGTTTCCTTATCTATAAAATGGGTATGATGATAATAATATGTATGACAGGTATTATTCGCAGGATTTCAATTCACTAGCAATTATGGAATGCTGATTAGGTACCATGCACTAAGTAAAGTGCCATAGGTCTGTCATCCCCATTTAATGTTCTCTACAGCTTGATGAGACATGTTCTTAAAGACGCCTTTCACAGATGAAGAAAGTAAAGTGCCAGGAGGGGACGTGATCTTCCACATTTGCATAGCTAGTGAGTGGCAAGCTGGGAGTTGACCCGTAGTAGGCCACTATGGAGCCCATACCAACTGCCCATCAACAGGGTCCAACAGAGAGCTACCATCCAGCAAATGCTGGCTGTTGACTAGTATTTCATTATTTTCTGGAAAAGACTGTTAAAAGGGTATCAGGATCTTGTCACCAGACATATAGGATTGAAGGATTTTCAGTTCAAGCCCACCTGCACCCTGAGATCTGAGTAGTGTGCACCTTTGAGTAAAGGAAGGAAGCTGGGGAGAGAAAAGGGAGCCTAATTCTCCCAGGCACCCTGACCATACCCTAAATGACCAACTAGGGTATGAAGCATCCACCCATGAATCAACACAGGAAGGGGCGCCAATCCCTGGCCAGTTCTACACCCAGAAAGTGGGTCATCCTCATGTGCTGATGCAAGGCACCGTGCACCATGCTGCCTGGGCACTTCCGGGAAACCACAAAATGTGCAGCAGTGTGTTTGAGGGGGGATGGCATGAGGATGCCAAGGACTTCTAACAACCAGAAGAGATCGAAGCCAGAGCAGCCCTGATGTGAGGGTGTTAGCCAGAGAGGAGCTTGTCACTAGGGTTCATTCACGTCAGACAAAACAAAACAGTGGGCCCAAAGTGCCTTCATTTCTGGCTTTTGACAGAAAGGTGTGTTGCAAAGTGATTATAAAGACAACTTTAAGACACTCAGACACTTGGAAAAGGTCCTGCTGTGGGTAAACAATTACATCCCGTCACAGATAAAAGAGCTGTCTAAGACTCTTAAAAAGAGCCTAAAAATTAAAGTGTCTATCATGATCCAGCCTTGTCTCTTTTTCTTCCTTCTTTCTCCCCAAAATGACTTCATTTCTGTCTTCCTTAGAAGCATCCTATCCCAGAATAGAAAACCCTGGTATCAAATCAATACAGTATCTATCAGTAATAGTCTATGAGAATAAATCTGGACCTATCACGGTCGAAGCAAAAAGAGAAGAGGGCAAAGAATAGGGCTTGGGTGGATTTCTTTTGGAAGCCAAGGAAAAAAGTTTGCAAAACCTATCATTCCTTAAACTCCTTACTGAGTCTTACCTATTCCTCAAGGCTTTTTAGTGAAGCACTGTCCACCTTGTGTTCATGTCTGTGCCCCTCCCTAGACTTGAAACCGTATCTTATTCATCTTTCCTCATGGTAAGTGTTTCATAACCATCCACTGAATTAGGTTGTAATTAACCAATCCAAAGCTATCCTCAGTCTAGCTCTATCCCTGCCCCATTCTTAGCCCTTACACATAGATACTCCAAACAGACTCTATTGACAGGACCCACGTGGGCTCACTCTCCATTTCTCTGCCTTTACACGCCTCTCCACCTAACCAATCACCAAAGAGGCATCAAGCAGAGTGCCTCCAAGTGAGAGTTTGCACTCACAGCCGGTGCTCAGATCCTGGTCCAGCCACTGATGGTTGTATAATCTTGGACAAGTTGTGTAATTTCCCTAGTTTTGTTTTCTCCACTGACATTATGAGATTAACAAAAGTGCTGACCTCAAAGGATTCTGAAGATTAACTGAGATGTTCTTTATAAAGTTATAAGCACAGCCCCTGAATTCAAGAAATGTTTACTGTTGTAGATGATGAAGAAGAAAGAAGAAGGAAGAAGGAAGAAGGAAGAGGAAGAGGAAGAGGAAGAAAGAAGAAAAGAAAGAAGAAGAAAGAAGGAAGAAAGAAGAAGAAGAAGAAGAAGTTGTTCCCTAGAAGTTTACCTGGGCCTCTCCTCTGGCCCTTTTCAGATTCCATTTTGTATTAGAGTACCATCCTAATGTACCAGCGATCCTGGAGGGTCCCTGAAGGTACACCCCAAGTCTCACTGGACTTCTTATCCACTATAGCCCCTATGGTTTTCTTTACCCATAGCAGGCTCCCTGAAAATGTCCCCTGAATGTACAAAGAAACAACTACTACAGATAACAAAACATGTACCAAAAAGCAACAACTAATACCTATGAAGTTGTCCTACACAAAAAGTAGGTTTTTAAAAATGTTCTGATAAACCCCTCACACTCAGCAAGCAACCGGTACCTCTTTTGAATAAGGAAACAGCCTTCCGTAAAGGCCTTGGGCATATCCCTGAAATGCTAAGCAAGACTTCTGAGTGCATCTGAAAAGAATTCTTAGCCAGTCTCTCTGGTCAACAGGAACACTGGGTTGTCAAGGGAAACAAGCTCTTGGATTCAAACAGTTCTAACTACACCCAGCTTTCAGGGTGACAGACATCACCTGAGCTAATGGCGCCACAGACAGCGAAAGTGCAAGTTAAGAGGCTTCCAGTGACATCATTGCCATTTACTCTGCACTTAATTCCCTAGCCATTATTCTGTTAATTTTCTTGTTACATTTGTCCAATTGGCTCGTCTAACTTGCACACACATGACTCTAGAAGCATTAATTATACAATAAAAGAAATCCAAGTCAATACTAGCTGCTTCTAAAAAACACCTTGGTAAGAAAGTTAGAAAGTTCACCTTTTGATTAAAACATTCCAACCAAAATTAAAGGAGACCCCAGGACTTTTCTATGTAGTAAATAAAAAAATTTGAGCTTTCAAAGAAAATCAAGCCATTTTATACATCAGTGAAAATGGATGTTCTATTACCAATTATTCTACCAACGTCTGAAGGTTTTAAAGGACCAAAATAATACAATGCTTTATATTAAATTCTTAAAACCCAGGAGAACAAATCTTTTTTATGGGGTGACAAAATATTTTTCATCTTTGCGTTATAGGTATTATAAATGTATCTACTGCTTTCCTTGTGTTATTATGGAATTGTACTAAATCGTGCAACCAAATGAACGAAATTCATCAACTGCTATTAATGAAATAAAAGGTTGAACTTATTTCATTAGGAGAATAGAGGGTATGAATCACTATGTGTGGCTGAATATCCTTCTGTTCTCTGAGAACCCCAGTGCTGAATAAGCCCTCTACTGACTAATTTCTACCACCACCAGCATGCAAATTGCTCCATCCTATTTGTGTCTGTAGCCAGAATATTTGTGGCATTTGTATCTAGACTTCAAAACAATCCATTGTTCATAAATTTAGGACACAGCCACAGATTTCTCACAACATCCCATATGAACATTCATCTCCAAATTGTGTTTTTACAACACATGAAATGTAAAATGTTATGAAAAATAGGAGTAACTGATAAATAGAAGCTTCTCCCTATTAAAGCCATTGAATAAACTCATTACACATACACTGCTTCCTTTATTTCTAGGATTTATAGAAGATTTGAGTTACAGCAGAAATGAAAAAAGCCTGATTTTAATAGCCATGTGTTAGTAATTCCCTACTCACAACAACCCTAATTTGTCAATTTCCCTAAGATTTATAGAAATCCAGTTTACTTTCCAGTAGAAAAGTAATTATTAAGAAGCAATTAAAATAACACTTTAATGCTCGCTGGCATTATGAGCATTTCCAAGAGTTTGCAAAACACAGATCTTTCCAATCATCACTAATTAACAAAATTTCCTCCACAAAATCAGAGGGATTTCTTTCAAAATACAAAAATGTTCCCTGTGTGTCTATGAAGTTTCTGGAGCAGTTCCCAGAGAGGCACGAGACACCATGGCAGGTCAACAGGAACAACCTTCAAACTGCTGGGAGGCTGCCCATCCAAAAGTGACATTATCGTTCCATAACAAAAAGGAGCTCAAATATTTCCTCTGCTCCAGAAAGGTTGGATGGTGATTCTCCAATTCTCCAGGGCTTCACTAGCATCAGCAAGGAGTCCCAGACACTCTGCCTCCAACCCTCAGGGCAGCCTCTTGGCTGAGAGCTGAGCTCCAAGAGCTGGCTGCTAGAACCTGTTGCTGTGCTCACTAGCTATGTGACATCGGGCAAGTTCCCTCATCTCTCTTGGAATGCAGTTTTGCATCTGTGAAATGTGGACAACAATGACATCTTCCTCACTGGGATGCTGGGTGGAATTAAATTAGACCATCATTTCTTAAGCTCTCAGCAACAAGCCTGGCATGTAGGCAGTGAAATGTAAAAGGTTGTGGCAATTGCCATGTGGCATTGGGGGTGTGGGGGTAAAGTTTATCTCAATATATTCACCAGCTCTATGGGTGCTTGCCCATTTATTCTAGAAGGAGAGAGACACAAGACACTCTCAAGAGGTTGAAGCACAGGGTGGTCTTATTAGTGGCCAACAACTGACCAGCTAAAACCAGAAAAGAGGTTAACAGAGCTATCTGGGTACCTTCATTTGGGCAGAATCAAGGCTTATCCTAAAAAGAGAGTGGACAGAAAATTCTCATCACTGGCTTCTAGTCTTCCTTTACTGTAACTCAGCATAGCCCAGACAAGCAAGTCCTTTCTCATTCTACAATATTGGGCAATGACTTGTAGAAAGTAGAAAAATTCCTCTTCAAAGCTCGTCTTAGTTTTAAAATAAAATAGGCACTAGGAATAATAGCTTCTTACCCTAAAGCCTCCTATCAACTGTTAGTTCTTACACTTCAGCCCAGTTAGTTGCTTTGGCTTATTCAGGCATGTCTAGACAGGCCGAGGCAAGTCTTAGCTTATAGCTTATGCCCCTTCCTTATTTGGAAACGTTATTGCTTCTTTAAATCCTTCATAAGCAACTTTCTCTTTTCCTTTACTCTCCCTTGCCTTTACCTATTTAAGAAAGTTTTAAGCTGTTAGCCAATCAGGTATTAGTTTTGACTGTGAGGTCCAGCTCCAGCCAATGGAGACAGGACACAGTAGCAGGGACAAGCTGCATAAGGGATAAAAATTGCCTCCTTCCTTTGTTCAGGCATGTTCTCACCATTGTTCCATCTGTGATGAGCACCCTTTCTGCAGAAAGTAAACAATGCCTTGCTGAGAGAATTAAATCTATGTTCGTGTGCTATTTCTTTGTGGCACCAGGGAACAAGCATTTCTAACAGAGTCCTTCTCACATGACCAAGCAGCTCCTATCATGACAAGGAACTGGATTTTAATTTGGTGGGCTGCTCACCTTCTCTTTCTCTCAGACCACCCACTGTCTTCAGGGTTAGAAAAACAAAGATGAAAACTCATTTGGTTCATCTTTGAGCGAGCAGTCAAATAAGGCATGAAATCATGGTACTTACAAACATGAGGCGGGTAGGTATGTTATCTGATTGCACCAAAGGATTTTTATAGAGCCAGATCTCTTCCGGTTGGATGACTCTCTGGAATGGATCCAAAAACTCTGTAAAACTGAAACGTAAAAAGAAAAGTACATAAAGGTTAAGCGTTCTGTTGCTGCGGGAAGTTCCCAAGGAGGCCCCCCACTGTGCACCCTCAGTGGGGAGAATCCAGACTGCTGCAGACGGGGAAAGAGACAGGCCCTGCTGTCAGTTCTCACTGGTTCAAAGGCTTGAGAAGGACTGAAAGAATCACTGAGACTTTACAGACTCTTCCATCACCACCTGCCAGCAAGGACAAATTCCAGGCATAAGGGAGTAGCTTTGTGTGTACAAAGACTCTAAGGACTTGGGGTTCCAAAGTAAACTGGAAACTGAAGTCAGAATGGGGCAAGGCCAGGGCAGCAGTGTGGTCTCTTGAAAACAAAATAGGCTTGAGGTGGAACATAAGCCAGGGAGTAACTGGCACAGCTGCCTGTGTGCTGTCTTCATTGGTTGGGCAATGAAAAGCAGTCACTGCCAAGAGAAAAACTAAGAAAGGGACAGAAATGCAGGGGTTTGCTTTTTCAGATCTCAGCCATCAGGCCACCTCCCAGCTCTCCAGCCAATCTTTACTGAGGAACTAAGTTCAGCACCACTTCAGATGCAGTTGGAGAGGGCAAAAGAAGCCAGGTCATGTGGGGCTTTGAGTGCCAGGCTAGAGGACTTTGATTTTGAGCCAAGGAGAGGTTTGGTAAAGGAGCATGGAATGGGAATTCCAATTCAAAATGGTGGCCCTGGCCATGGTGAGGATGGGACTCGGAAGAGAGAATAGAAGGCAAGGTGGGAGGTGCTGAGGTTGTGGCAGCTGTCCCTGCAAGACAGACTAGCAGACTGGAGAGGAAATGGATGGCATGGAGAACCTGTGGGCAGGAGTGGCTGAAGCTGATTCCTAGGCTTCTGGTTTGGGTTTCTGGGAAAAGGATTCCCATGATCCAAGATGAAGAGTGCAGGGGAGCAGGAGAGGAGGAGAAGCTCAGCTTTCTCCTCCTCTAGGAAACCCTCTAGGGTGGCCAGCAGTCTTGGTTTGTCCATAACTTTTCCAGTTTTAGCACTGAAAGTCCTATATCCCAGGAAACCCCTCAGTCTTGAGCAAACCAGGACAGTTGGTCACCTAAAGCCATCCCAGTCTCCAGACAGAATCAGGAGTCCCACAGCCCCGGTTTCTATCCCAGATTTGGGACGTTGTACGAGTATGTTCTGTTTGCAGCTTCAGCTCCCCTGTGAGGGTATGAGGGCAGGAGCCACTCCAGGGCTGTCACCTCAGAGCCCAGTAGCACGGCTGGGACACTGTAGGCACTCAGAGACCACAGAAGTTAACATCTATTTGGGACTTTGAACAGGTGACACTGAAACTATTCTCACTTTGATCAGCCTGACTCTCAATTCTATTGCGTATCTAAGAAACCTAAAATCCACCCATCTTCTGTGTCTCTCTCCCTGTCTCTCCCTCCCTCCTTCTCTTTCCCCTTCTCTTCCTGCCTCCTCTGTGACGTTTTAAGTCCTAAAAGCCTGTATATTTATGTAATTTCGAAAAGCAGTGGTACCCATGACCGTTCTGCTCAGCACTGGGCCCCCAACGCCTCTGCCTGGCACCCAGGCATCTCTTGGTAGCTATTTGCTAGATGACTGAATGGACTCCTGCAGTGCCATCATCACAGAACCCAGTCAACCCTTCACCAACCCTGAACCTGGAGCACTTCTATTACAGAATCCCTACTGCATCCCCTCACTAGGGTGCAAGTCACTTCTGCTATCAGTCTTCCAAACCTCCTTTAGAGCTGCCTGGAGGAGCACCCTCTCTGGGCATCAGAAACCTGCTCTCTGCCCCAGCTCGCCAGCTGAGCTGCTCCGTGCTGTGGAGCAAGCTGCTTCCTCTCCCAGGGCCTCTGCAATGGGGGAGGCTGAACTAAATCCGAGACTTCAATTTGAGAAGGGTCAGAACCTTCTAGAAAACACCCTACCACAGACCTAAGACTCCATGTGAACAGAGTCTGGTAATGTGGATTTTAAAACACTATGATGGGCCAGGAGTCCCCGGCATTGAACTAAGTGACACCTAAGGGTCCCAGAGCCTAGGATCCAAGGACAGGACATCCTGTAATTTAACTCTTCTCATTAACAACTCTTCCACCCACTGCAGGACAGGCTCTAGAGTCAGGTCCACCAGCGTTCAAACCCCAACTCTGGCACATGGTGAGTCATTTAACATTTTCTGAGCCTCAGTTTCTTCATCTCTAAAAGAGACACACCTTACAGAGTTGGAATGAAAGTTAAACGATGGAATATATATGTAGGGCCTGACAGAAGAGAAACAAAAACTAGAATTGTATTACTATTATCATTTTACTCTAGCCTAAAGCCGCATGTTTTTATTAGACGGTTTTCGGGCTTTGTTTGATTTTGTGACAACCTACTCCCTGCTCCCAAGTGTTTTTAAGACATAATGAAATGAAGTGAAATGAAATAAATTTTGCTTGAAGGATGTCTTTAAGAATGTGTAGTGTATCTCTGATAACCAAAGCTTCAGAATACTCCAGTTTCTGTAGCTACATAACAAATTACTTCAAAACATTTTATTTTGCTCATGAATTTGTGGATCAGGAAATTGAGAGGGGCTCATCCTCTAGGTAGTTCCCACTTAGCATCTCTCATGTGGGCACAGTCAACGGCTGTCCACTGACCAGGCTGTTAGCTGGAACCCCTGCTGTTGTTTTTCGTATAACAGGACACAGTCTCTCCCCTCTTACCTCAACTTCCTATTCTGGGGGTGGGGGGAATCAGTGACACTGGAGATGACTAGTTGCTGTGTTATGGATTTGAGTTTCATTTGGCTATAAAACAATCTTGTTGGGAGAAGTAGGGGGAGAGAACCTCTTCCCACACATAAGTTGAGACAGATCCCAACTGGTCAATGATCTTGTTTGTAAGAAAGAGATTCTGTTGGTTGACTGCCTAAAGAGAAAGGTGATTGGCCTTCGGATCATACCAACTTAGCTAGCATTGCTAACCAACTGTTGCAAGCTCTGAAAATAAAAGATCTCGAACCCCACCCCTCCACCCCTAGAAAAACCCTTCCTCTCCAGCACTGTGGTCTCAGGGTGGTCAGAATTATTCATAGCTACTGGCTTCCCCCACAGCAGGTATCCCAGGAGAACAAGGCAGAAGCTCAATGGCTTTTTCCAACCTAGTCTCAGAAGTTGTGTAGTGTCATCTCCAGTCAGAAGTGAATCCTAAGGTCAGTCTGGATTCCAGGGAGGGGAAATGACTCCACCCATTGACTGGGGTGTGGCAAGTTCTTACTATAGAAAAGCAGATGAATGAGGGATATGGCTGCAGCCACCTCTGAAATATACTCTGCCACCCACAGGGTGCTACTGACATTGTGATGGCCACACACTCCCACTCTGTAAGACCCCAGAACCTTGACTCCTATTTCTTCTCACACAGCCGGCCACAGGGCAATGGGACCAGGTACACCACAGAGCACCTTCCCTCCTCGTCTTGTTTGTCTTTCAGGTTTTATTATCCTCCTGGCAATTTTTCTAAAGCCTGGTGCACCCAGCATTTTGCACAATCCCTCACTCCACCCTGAGTAGCTGCAGCCAGAACCCATCTATCAAGCAAATTATATCCTCTGGGAGCAGCAGTACTAAGAAAGATCGATGTCCCTTCTCCAGCCATGCTTCAGCCACTGGCGTCTGTCTCAAAGAACGCAGACAGTGGAGCTAATATGCAGAGGACCAAGGTCTTAATAAAGCTTAAGGATCTTAACAGGGACAGAGGAGGGCACATAGTGGAATGGAAAGTCCTGGAGAGGTTAAAGGTGTTCCCAAGAGAGAACATGCCCAGGCCTGGAAACATCCTTCCACAAGCTCTTTGGAAGTGGTTTGGAATCCAAGAAATGGGATCCCTGCTTCTAGGGAAGGTGTGAAGGCGTGGTCTCCAGCAGTGTGTTACATTGGCGGTTCCCAAACTTTAATGTGTCCAGGGATCACTGGGAGGCTTGTGACTGCAGATACAGAGACAGCAGGTTCAGAAAAGACCTTAGAGCTAGCATTTCCAGCAAGCTCCTGGGGGTGCCATGCTGCCGATTTGTAGATCAAACCTTGAGTCACAAGGGTCCAGGGCAGCAGCATCTTGTGGGATCTTGTTAAAAATGTAGAATCTCCAGCCCCACCCCAGACCCAGTAGATCAGAGTCTGCATTTAACATGACCCCCAGATAATCTTCTCCATGACTGTGGTAGAAGGTGGGTCACATCCATGTATTACATTGGTGCAAAAGTAATTGCAGTTGTTGCCTTTTTTTTTTTAAAGCATAGCAAAAACCCCAATTGCCTATGCACCAACCCAGTACAATCTAAATCTAAACCCACCTCACAAAGCCATTAAAATCATCTCAAGCACCACCTGTGTCATGGGGGGAGAAAAAAAATGTAGAAAACAAAATGAAAACTCAAAGGCACCGAAACCTGAAGCCATTCAGTGCAGAGGACTATAGCCCAGCCAGCCTTAGTAGCTCACAAGTGTCAGTATATTCCTGGCCAGCGTAATTACGGACGTCCTTGAGTTTTTTAAGAAAAAGTTAAAGAAATTGCAACAACTCTTTGACCACTAGAAGGTGGGTAAAACCATTTAGTTTACTTTTATTTCCAATAAATACAGAAATAAAGCCCAGAAGGCTCTGACAGATCCAAGGATGCAGAAGTCCTTTGGGGATGAGGGTCAGGCATGTTGTTCTCACTGTGAAGGCCTTTCCCCTTCTCTGCAAAGCCTTCATTAAGAATAGAAGAGCTTTTGGGAGGCCAAGGCGGGTGGATCACATGAGGCAAAGAGTTCAAGACAAGCCTGGCCAACATGGCGAAACCCTTTCTCTACTAAAAACAAAAAATTAGCCGGGTGTAGTGGTGCATGCCTGTAATCCCAGCTACTTGGAAGGCTGAGGCAAGAGAATTGCTTGAACCCAGGAGGTGGAGGTTGCAATGAGCCAAGATCATGCCACTGCACTCCAGCCTGGGTGACAGAGTGAGACTCCATCTCAAAAAAAAAAAAAAGAATAGAAGAGCTCGTGTGTCTGTGTACATAACTCAGGGCCCTCTGTACTCAAATCATGTGGATAATCACACTAGTTATCCATTGCATCTCACAATATGTTTAAGAGTAGAGTAAGGCTCCTAAAACTTCATCAGGTTTGATGACCAAAAATAAACAGCCCTACGAACCCTAACAGATTACAAGGTAGCATTTATGAATCATTTCAAAGGAAAAATGCTATTTAATGAGACCGTATAGGTGTGAATGCAATATTTTCTTCATTGTTATCAATAAACTCTAGTTCAGCAGCCGTGCCAGTCTAACCTCAAAATCACAGACTTCCCCCATTACAAGCATTGATGAATTGTTAACTATTGTCAACATCATTTCACTTAATAGGGATTCAAACTAAAAATAAAATGTCTAGACTGTGCAGGTCAAATGTTACTACATTGAAAAGCAAAGTTACTACCAAAGTAAACATATTATTTTCTTTAATGATAATTTTAACTGCCCAAAGTCAGGTAAATTGTTGTTGGATTTTAATCCAAGACATACTTCTATTTCTTTGCTGTTTAAATTGGACAGTTATCTTTTTTTTTTTTTTTCTTTTTTGAGATGGAGTCTCGCTCTGTCGCCCAGGCTGGGGTGTGGTGCTGCCATCTCGGCTCTCTGCAAGCTCCGCCTCCCAGGTTCATGCCATTCTCCTGCGTCAGCCTCCTGAGTGGCTGGGACTACAGGCACCCGCCACCACACCTGGCTAATTTTTTGTATTTTTAGTAGAGACAGGGAGCCTCCTGAGTAGCTGGGACTACAGGCACCCGTCACCACACCTGGCTAATTTTTTGTATTTTTAGTAGAGACAGGGTTTCACCATGTTAGCTAGGATGGTCTCGATCTCCTGACCTCATTATCCGCCTGCCTCGGCCTCCCAAAGTGCTGGGATTACAGGCGTGAACCACTGCACCTAGCTGGACAGTTATCTTAATCTATTTGTATCTTAATTTCTCCTGGGCAAAGTAGGGGCAGTTTTACATATTTTCTCCTTAATTTTCTCACGATATAGTTTGAAGATCTTAAAACACATTCACTCAGCACCATAAGACAGGGCAAGGAAAAAAAATTCATGACGAAAATTCAAAGATGTAATTCTAACTTTATGCCAAGCAATTTTCTCTTGTGCATTGTTCATGTGTGGTTCAGATGTTTAAAGGGGATAGAGCTTATAATTACATATACATACACACAAAATGCACGCACACACACCCCACACACATAAACACACACGTGTGTGCACACACATACACACTGCCTGAAATTAAGTGAGTGGAAGGCAAATAAAAGGATGCAATTATTTAAGATGCAGGGAGAATCCACTAAAATTAACCAAAATGGAAAAGAGGTAAAGGAGGATCTGACATTGACTAAGAATGAAAAGCAAGAAGAAAACTGAAGTCGGAGTGATCTGAAAGCAAAATATAACAGAAAACCACACACCTTTCCCCTTTAAGCAAACCGTGGCTGCCAGTGGCTCTTTCACTGCTAAATCACAAAAGCACCACCTACTACCTTTTTTTGATCACCTGAATCTTCACCTACAAGCAGTAGATGCAATTCCAGAGGCACACGTGGCATCACTGGGGGCTCTCCAGGCTTTTAACTGACTTGGCATCAAATTAGAATATGGTCCTGCCCCTAGGAGGATCCCCAGACTAGGTCTAGATACGGCAGCATCTAGACTCATGACAGATAAGAACTACACTCACATATGCTCACCTGCACCCACACACACATACACATACACATACACATACACACACTCACACATTCTCTCTCTCTCTCTCTCTCTCTCTCTCCCTCTTCCTCTCTCTCTCTCTCTCTCTCTCTCTCTCTGTCTGTCTCATTCCCATGCTCTTGTTAGTTAATTCTGTTTCCATAGCTCAATATGACTTAAGGACCCAGGATACGTATCTTGTTACACAGAAAGGCCACAGGAGGGGACAGAGAGTGGACTATCATCTTTGCCAAAGTTTTCTTCATTCAACAAATATTTACTGAGTGTCCATGATGTGCCAAGTACTGTCCTACAACACTGGTGAATACAAATATAGTCCCAACTCTTATGGAGATTACAGATTGTATAATCTGGGTCACAACAGATCGTGGAATTGGGTGTTGAGGTTTTTCCTTGTACACATCAGAACACATGAGCTTGCCACTGCACTCTGCTTTAAGAAGATGTCTAGATTGGAGTGCCTCAGTTGTTGGTCTCATGACATAGCCTCCCACCCAGAGCCACCTGTGAGGACTCTGGTCCTCTAGGGATATTCCAGGGTATATATCTATCACAGTCCACATGTCAAATGTGGCAACAGGTGCAGCCCAAAGTTGGGAATCCAAAGGAATGGCTGATATTGACATCACATCAGCAGAAACAGCAAGTCCATGAGAAGAGACAGTGATGCCACCGTCCCCCGGGCCTCTTCTAATTCAAAGTCAAGTGCCCAAAGCCCCAGAGGATCCCTATAAGCTTCTAAAAGATTTCATGGATTTGCCAATGCCCTTAGCCCATGTGCCTGAATGACAGGCCTTTTTCAAGATAGGTTAAAACTCCAGGGGGCTTTAAAGTCAAGTACTAGGATGACAGACCTCACCATCCTTTTCCCCAACTATAAATAACACAAGATTATACTGAAATATAAACCCAATCAGATCATTAGACTTAGTCCAAATTCCTGCTTTGGTGTTTGCTGTCAGGGTGGCTTGAAAAAAGTCACTTGACCTCTCTGAAGCTACATATCTTCCTCCTGTCCCCCAAGACGCTGCCATACCTTCCAAAGCCATTGTGAACATTCTGTTCAGTAATAAGTTAGGGTCCAGCACAGCACCTAGAGCACCGAAAGCCTCCATAAACGGTGACTGTTTCTCTTACACATGTGAATATGCTGGGTGTGAGAAGGCTGCCCCACCTTCTTTAAGCCCCACCTGAGGGTAGTAAGGTTGTGTGTTGGGGAAAGGGAGCAGATAGAAGAATGGCAACAGAAGTCTGCATCATTTGGTCATTCTATGAGCAAACAATGGCCCAGAAAGTCACTTTCAACAATTGAGATCTGAGGAAAAAAAATAATAACACTTGAAGACACATGATAAACAACATTTTCCAGGTGAGAGCCAAAAGGAAAGCATGTTTCCTTATTGCACTAGTGACTTTTCCTCCCTAGTCAGCCTCTCTCGGCCAACAGGAAAAAGCTCTTATAAACAGGCATCAGATGTGGTCAGCAGAACAAGCAGGCCACGCCACTCTAGGCAGGAAAAGAGGCATATCAGGTTACTCATTAGTCCTGGGAACAAGGGGTGGGTGTGGTTATAGGCAGAACATGTTGCTGGATTATCTCTGTGAGCCTGTGGGCCAGCAAACTGCCCTCAGACAGGTCTTTACTGTGAATTGGAGTAGTTGGCTATCCCCCAAAACAAAGTTAACAATTAGAATAATAATCATAGTTAGTTATGATATTGCAGACATCTTATGCCAAGCCTTTCACTTGCTGCTTTCCAACAGGACTTCATCCTCATAAGAACCCTATGAGGCAGGAATTACCATTATTCCTGTTTTAGAAATGAGGGCACTGAAGCTACAAGATGTCAGATGTCTTGCCTACGTCTATATGGCACAGGGTGCACTATTCCTCCGTACATGCGCTGGACTTTTAAGAAAATCAAGTAACACAGTCATACACAATACACACACACAACACACACATACATGCTTTCCCCACCAGCTCGGTGTTATCTGCAATTATTTTAATAAGACACAGACTTCTCCCCAATTAGAGATATAGAGATGTGACCTTACTCAGGAAATGCAACATGTCGATCTCCAGTCTCAGTGTGGACGACTGAGATCAGATTTTTGCAGAGCAAAGTTTGATGTTTGTTGGAAAGAAGGGAAAGAAAGAATGCACAGGGAAGGAGGTGGAAAAAGAAATGAAGACCCCAAGAAGTTGTTCCCACCAACTCTCTTGTACCTATAATCCAAAGAGGGGTTTCCTTTACAGCAGCTGATTTAATCAAATAATCCACCACTCGCCTGGATGAGGAAGAATGGCATGCAGAGACCAGCCCTGGACCAGACCAGGAACAGCTCCCGGAATTACCACCCCTCTTGGCGATGGTTCTTCTTGCTCTGTGATAAGCCTCCCAACAGACACAAAGACTGAGGCTTAGCAAGCATAAATGCAAACCCAAGGCAGAGCCAGGATTCATGTCCTCGTGCCCTCACTCTAAATCTCATGCCCTTTTCAACTGTGAGGGCACAGATTCTACAGGCAGCTCTCCTAGGTTGGATTTTGATTCTTTCCTTACCAGCCACGTGACCTTGGGCAAGGTGCTTCACCTCTCAGGCCTCAGTTGCCTCATCTCTGAAGTGATGCTGATAATAGCGCCTACCTCAGAGGGTTGGTGTAAGGATTAAATGAATTAGTTCATATGAAGTGCTTAGGAGGATAGGAGGATGAGTACACAAAGTGAATGAATAATGAAGGTGTTAAATTTGAGCAGTGTAAAGTCTAAAATTGAGGCTCAATGTTATGTCTTGTTTTGACACCTGAAACAAAAATGGATTCAAATGCCCTAACCACAAGTTCCCCTCCCTACTCTGCTTTCACAAATAAGGTCCTGTAGCCAAATAACCTTTCTTATTGACGTGACCAGGCACAGTTTCTGCTTATCTCTGAATAGTGAGTCTCAGCTTCCTGCCAGCTTGTGGAATTATTCAGTAAGTCAATTACATCCTCCTGCCATTACCAGGGA